AAAAAAAAAAAAAACTTTAAATGCCTTCTCATCAGTCTTGAAAAAAAAAAAAAAAGATCACAATCCTTATTGGTACCTACCTACCACTTCACAAATGACTCTGTTTACTCTACTCTGAAGTACACAAGCGTGTAACTTGTTCAAAATGACTCTGCCTTCACTTATCTTTGAGCCTGTACACGTGCTGCCCACCCCCAGACACTGTTTTCCATTCCCCAAAATGTTCTCAGTTAACATAATTCACTTTTCAGATCTCAACTCCAACATTACTTCTATGACACACCAAGCTAGGTGGAAGCACCTAACACATACTTGCATGTTAACATATACCTTCCCTAGATGTAATTTATTATTGTTTATTTGATTAATAAGAAGGTCAACTATAAATCACTTGAGAGTAGAAATTGTATCTGATGACAAAACAGTCTGATGTAAAATACATGTAAAAAGCTGCAGAATAACTGAATATGTAACAAACTAATATATTCCTTCATACTAAGAAGCACGATACTTACATTTAAACATACAGTATATTTCATTTTACTGTGTGCACTGCTTTTGGAACTCCTGTGGTTCCAACTTGGGAGCCTATAAAATTTTGCCAGTTTTCTTTGAGATCTTTATGGTATTATCTGATTATTCTAAAAGAATAAGAGTATCGCCAGTTTGTCTTCCCACTATTCAAAGCAAACTTTGAAAATCAAGCACGGTGGCTCACGCTGGTAAACTTAACTCTTTGGAAAGTCAAGGTGGGCAGGTCCCTTGAGTCCAAGAGTTCAAGACCAGCCTGCGCGCAATATGGGGAAACCCTGTCCTTATCAAAAAAAATTCAAAAATTAGCCAGGTGTGGTGGCACACACCTGTAGTCCCGGCTGCTTGGGAAGCTGAGGTGGGAGGACTGCTTGAGCCCAGGAAGTAGAAGCTGCAGTAAGCTGAGAACATACCACTGCACTCCAGCCTGGGCAACAGACACCCTGTCTTTAAAAAAAAGGAGCAAAGTTTGAATACTAATTTTAAGGGAAAATAGAACTAAAAAAAAAAAAAATAGGCATCTCAAACCTTTTAAAACAGTTATGATTTAAAAGGGAAAAGCATAAATGCAAAGCCCTTTTTTTTTTTTTTTTTATTTCTATTTGCCCTGGATTTTGACGTAGTTTCTCTCCTTGTACCCAGGCGGGTGTGCAACGGCACGATCTCGGCTCACCGCAACCTCCACCTCCTGGGTTCAGGCAATTCTCCTGCCTCAGCCTCCTGAGTAGCTGGGATTACAAGCACGCGCCACCATGCCCAGCTAATTTTTTGTATTTTTAGTAGAGACGGGGTTTCACCATGTTGACCAGGATGGTCTCTATCTCTTGACCTCGCGATCCACCCGCCTCGGCCTCCCAAAGTGCTGGGATTACAGGCTTGAGCCACCGCACCCGGCTAAAGCCTTTTGTTCATGAAAAACAATAAATATATGTAATAAAGAGGGGAAAATGCCAGAGAAACAACTAAAACAAAAAGTGTACCCTCCAATTTTTATCCTTTTCTCCCACTTCAGTTGGGTTATTCTTACTTTTTAAGATGTTGGGCTAGGCCCCATGGCTCACACTTGTAATCTCAACACTTCAGGAGGTTGACGCAGGAGGATCACTTAAGCTCAGGAGTTTGAGACCAGACTGTGCAAGATGGCAAAACTCTGTCTCTACAAAAAAATATCCAAAAAATTAGCTTGGGTGGCCCACCTGTAATTCCAGCTACTCAAGAGGCTGAAATGGGAGGATGACCTGAGCCCAGGATTTCAAGGCTGCAGTGAACAGTGATTGTGCCACTGCACTCCAGAAGCTGGGTGACAATGAGACCCAGTCTCAAAAAAAAAAAAAAAAAATGATGATGATGATGTAAATATATTAGTACCAAAAAGATATGTGCCATGGATAATAACAAGAGATTTCTTCACATCTTATTTCAAACATACTCAAATTAGAAATGAATGATTACTATATCATTTTAAAATCAAAATGAGTTATTTCTCACTCCTTCCTAAAAATCATTTAATTTTAACAACTGCCTATGAATCAAATAAATTCGTATAAACAAATTACTAAATTTTTGGTATGGGTGAAATTTGGAGATAACAGATGAATGAAACTTTTAACAGCAAATCAGTTTCAAAATCTGTGCTAGTGAGAAGCAAACTGTACAGAGCAATAAGACCAAAATATTAAAAACTAACCAAAATAGTTAGCATAGTATACAATATAATAAGAGACTATTTTTTTTTTGAGACAGAGTCTCGCTCTGTCACTCAGGCTGGAGAGCAATGGCACAATCTCAGCTCACTGTAACCACCATGTCCCAGGTTCCAATGATTCTCCTGTCTCAGCCACCTGAGTAGCTGGGACTACAGACACCCGCCACCACAACCAGCTAATTTTTGTATTTTTAGTAGAGATGGGTTTCACCATGTTGGCCAGGGTGGTCTCAAACTCCTGACCTCAGGTGATCCACCCGCCTTAGCTTCCCAAAGTACCGGGATTACACACGTAAGCCACTGCACCCTGCTAACACTTTCTACATAAGAAACTTTACATTTTTATTGTAATGGTAACTATATTAGTCAGGGGCGTTCGTTATACATAGCAGTATACAAAGATATTTAAAATTGAGACTCTCATTGCCACAAAAGGAAGGTATTAAGTCTACTGAACTAATCATCTATCCCAAATGTTTTCTAGTGTGCTTGGCAGATCCCTGGGGATTCCTAAGACCTTTTAAGGGGGTCCACAAGGTCAAAATTATTTTTTTAATGCTACTGTTATTTTGCTTCTTTCCTGAGTTGACATTTGAATTGATGGTACAAAAACAAAGGTGAGTAAAATTACAACAGCGTCTTAGGCAATCAAGGCAATGTCACCGACTATACTAGTAGTCACTGTGTTCTTTACTGCCAACTACCCACAGGAAAAAAAAGAAAAAGAGGTTTAAAAAGGCCAGTTTCAGGCTGGGCACGGTGGCTCATGCCTGTAATCCCAACACTTTGGGAGGCCAAGGCGGGTGGATCGCCTAATCAATCGCCTGAAGTTAGGAGTTCAAGCAAGACCAGCCTGGCCAGCATGGTGAAACCCCGTCTCCACTAAAAACACAAAAATCAGAAGCAAGGTGGCAGGCACCTGCAATGCCAGCTACTCAGGAAGCTGAGGCAAGAGAATTGCTTGAACCCAGGAGGTGGAGGTTACAGTGAGCCGAGATCACACCATTGCACTCCAGCATGGGCAACAGAGCGAGACTATGTCTCCAAAAAAAGACCAGTTTCACTTTAAAATAAATGTTCTTGACAAAGCGGGAAAATTAATTAATTATATTAAATATTGAGCTTTCGGAAAATGTTTTTTAATATTGTGTGTGACAAAATGGAAGTATACATACAGTACTTCCGCTACATATTAAGTATGATGGCTACTGTTAGGAAAAAGTACTTGTGCAGTTTATTTGCAAGCTGAATAAGCCAATTGTTCATGGAACACCATTATCACTTCAAAAACAACTGATAGACAAACTAAGATTATTTAGACTCGAGCATTTGGCAGACATTTTCCTGAAAGTGAATAAAGTGAGCCTAACACTTCAAGGAAAATAACTGGCAATATTTGTTGCCAATAATAAAATTCCAGCGTTCAAGCAAACAGTGGAATTTGGAAAACTTGAATCCATCAATGTGAACTTGAAAGCCTTTCAATATTTGAAAATCCTTCTAGTGGGATCTGTGTTAAAATTAGTGATTGCGATTTTTTTCGCATTATATAATGAAATGTGTCAGCATTCAGAAGGTCTGCATAACTCAGTGAAAAATATTTTCCAAATGGCCTATGCAATGTATTTTAATGTAATGAAGTATAAAATGTTTACTGATATGGTTTCAGAGTCCACACTGTAACCTTTAAGAAACTACCATCTGCCAAGTGTTGTAGTAATATCAAAGAAAATTATCCATAATTATGTGCAAAGCCTATTGTAATAGTCCCCCTTTTTCCAACTACATAACCGAGTGAGGACAGATTTCCTTCACATACTTTAACCAAAACAAAATGAACAGATTAACTGCAGAAGCAGATATATTAATTTTGCTGTCATCTATTTTTCACTGAGATGTGGAATAATGTAAAATAATGTTATTCTTGCCCTAAACATTTTTGTTTGGAAAACTATGGTTACGTTTTTCATAAAATATATTATTCAATAACAAACCCACTAGATGTCACTTTAAATGAATTAATAAATGTTTTAAACTTCTCAGTTTTAGTTTTAGTACAGTAAATGCTGATAGATAGAACCTGCCTTAAAAAAAGTTCTCAGGCACAGTGGCTCACACCTGTAATCCCAGCACGTGGGGACTCCAAAGCAGGTGGAACACTTGAAGTTAAGAGTGGGAGACCAGCCTGGCCAATATGGTGAAACCCCATCTCTACTAAAAATACAAAAACTAGCCGGGCGTGGTGGTGTTTGCCTATAATCTCAACTACTTGGAAGGCTGAGGCAGAAAAATCACTGGATCCCAGGAAGTGGAGGTTCCAGTGAGCCGAGATCTCACCACTGCACTCCAGCCTGGGCAACAGAGCGAGACTCCCTCTCAAAAAAACAAACAAAAATGTTATCTGGGGTCTTCAATAATTTGTTAAGAGTATAAAGAGGTACTGAGACCATAAGTTTGGGTACAGATGATCTATATAATATTGTAGAAAATTGCTCAAGGAGGCAGAAAATCACACTGCCACGTGTGTACCTATGCAACAATCTTGCATGTTCTTCACATGTACCCCAAAACCTAAAATGCAATAAAATAAATGGGAAAAAAATAAATAAAATAAAAAAATAAAATTCTTTTCTGTTGCTAGGTTGTAAGAATTTTTAAGAGTAATAAATATTGAATTTATCAAAAAAGAAAATTGCTCAAGGGATAAAGACAAAGATATTCTAATTTAACACATCCTTGCCTATATTTCCTTTCTTCAGTAAGATTTTTTTTCCCAGATACTGTTTAATAACCAAGATACAAACTAATTTTGTTGTAACAAGCCTAGACCAATTTTATCAAACATGTCCTTGGTTAGTTATCCAGTTTCATTTAACGTTTTGAAAACTCATTTGACAGCCAGTCAAGTCCTTCATACAGACCAGTTCCTTGTGTTGCACAAGTGGCTTGAACATACCATGTTCTGTTACGAAGAGACTGAAGACCTAGTTTATCTGTCATTTCACTGATGGCCATAGCATTTGGCAAATCCTGTTTGTTTGCAAAAAGCAGCAGCACTGCATCTATCAGCTCATCTGCCAGATGCATTTTCTGCAGCTCATCTGCTACTTCCTGAATTCTTTCACGATCATTGCTATCTACCACAAAAATAAGACTCTGGGTATTCTGGAAATAATGCTTCCAGAGGAGGCCTAATTCTATCTTGACCACCAACATCCCATACTGTGAAACAAATGTTCTTATATTCTACTGTTTCCATGTTAAAACCAATGGTAGGAATGGTGGTGACTATCTCCCCTAACTTCAGTTTATACAGAATGGTTGTTTTGCCAGCAGCATCCAATCCAACCATCAAAATGCGCATCTGCTTCTTGCCAAAGAGGCGGGAGAAATGGGAGGAGACAGGGAAGCCCATGGTGGTAGTGGCACTTGTGATGGGCAGAAGCAAAACGGGTTTGGGGCGGCCCTGTGCTTTCTCCTTTCGCGCTCCCAGCAAACTAAACCAGAGGGAAGAGAAAGCAGAGGAAGAAACAGGGAGGCTGGAACGTCTCGCTGGCCACTGTGCCAATGAAGCTCCAGGACAGGAATTAGCCGGTAGAGGACCTGCTAGGCAACTGGTGGGGCAGCTCCGGCTCTAGCCTTTAGGCTTTGGCTGTCTTCAGTAAGATTTTTTTTAATTGACTTTAATAAAAAGATTTAAGAATGTTTAAAAGGATGTAGTACATAAACAATTTGAATTAAATCATTTCCTGAACAACTTAATTATTCAGTGTCTTGGTATCTTAATTACAATTAAGTAAACATTTAAACATAATGCTAACAACAAAATAGAAAGAACAGGCATAACTAAATTGGAGATTTTTAGAAGAAATTGATGAAACAAATTCTAATGAAAAACATCAGAATTGTAAGCCTGGAAGTCACAGAAACAAACTCTACTAAAAACCATTAGAATTGTCACTTTGGATATAATCTAATTCAAACTCATCCTTTTACAGAATACAAAAAAAGCTAAAGGCTGGTTAAGATAAAACTAATTCATGATAGAATGAAGCCTAGGACCAAACCTCCAGACTCCTTGTAGGGATCATGTAAATTGTTAACGGCTTATGTGCCAGGCTTTGAGCAGGCACTGGCAATATGGAAATAAACAAGACAAACCTGGTCCTGCTTTCTTGGGGACCTGCATCAAATAAGTGTCAAACAAGTGTAACATGTGCTGCAGAGGGCTGGGCGTGGTAATCCCAGCACTTTCGGAGGCCGAGGTGGGCAGATAATGAAGTCAAGAGATCAAGACCATCCTGGCCAACATGGTGAAACCCCCTTCTCTACTAAAATTACAAAAATTAGCTGGGTGGGGTGACACATGCCTATAATCCCAGCTACTCAGGAGGCTGAGGCAGGAGACTTGCTTGAACCCAGGAGGCGGAGGTTGCGGTGAGCGGAGATCACGCCACTACACTCCAGCTTGGGAGACAGAGTGAGACTCCGTCTCAAAAAAAAAAAAAAGTAAGTGCTGCCAAGAAAACATATAGGATTCTATGGAGGCATTTAACAGGATATAAACTGACCTGGTGGGACAGGGAAGACTTCTGTCTCTCAGGAAGTAACCTCCCTTTTACTGCCAGGTACTAACAGCCGTATCACTCCTTCCTAAGGATTCTAGCATCTTGCTCACTAACTCACCATTACTCCTATCATTATTCTTGACAGTGTCGACATTCACTCAGATAACCTACCCAAAACATTTGCCTGTCAGTCAACTGACTTCCTTAACTTCAACAATTTTTTCTTTTTTCTTCATTTTTACTTAAACACAGTCAAAAATTCCCATGGTCATTACACCATTTCCAAAAATCTAGCTGGAGATACAGGGTAATAGAAAGAACAGTTAGGAGGCCAAGCATGGTGGCTCACGCCTGTAATCCCAGCACTTTGGGAGGCTGAGGCAGGCAGATCACCTGAGGTCAGGAGTAAAGAGACCAGCCTGGGCAACATGGCAAAATCCTGTTTCTATATAAATACAAATATTAGACCGGGCACAGTGGCTAACACTTGTAATCCCAGCACTTTGGGAGGCAGAGGCAGGCGGATCACCTGAGGTGAGAAGTTCAAGACCAGCCTGGCCAACAAGGTGAAACCCTGTCTCTACTAAAAATACAAACATTAGCCAGGCATGGTGGCAGGCACCTGTAATCCCAGCTACTCGGGAGGCTGAGGCAGGACATTAACTTGAACCTGGGAGGCGGAGGTTACAGTGAGCTGAGATTGCGCCATTGCACTCCAACCTGGCAGACAAGAACAAGACTTGAGTCTTTAAAAAAAAAAAAGAAAGAAAATTAGCTGGATGTAGTGGCACATGCCTGTGGTCCCATCTCGGGAGGCTGAGGCAGGAGAATCACTTAAACCCAGGAGGCAGAGGTTGCAGTGAACAGAGATTGGGCCACCGTACTCCAGGGTGGGCGACAGAGCAAGACTCGATTAAAAAGAAAAGAACAAGTTAGGGAGCTACAGAAGTTGTCCAAGCAATAGGTAATGCTTTGCAATGTGACGGTAAAGTGGAGATAGAAAAGCTGAAGAGTTGGGCAGGTGTGGTGGCTCACTCCTGTAATCCCAGCACTTTGGGAGGCCAGTGTAGGTGGATCACAAGGTCAGGAGTTCGAGACCAGCCTGACCAGCATGATGAAACCCCGTCTCTACTAAAAATACAAAAGTAGCCAAGTGCAGTGGTGTGCACCTGTAGTCCCAGCTACTCAGGAGGCTCAGGCAGGAGAATTGCTTACATCTGAGAGGTGGAGGGTGCAGTGAGCCAAGACCGTGCCATTGCACTCCAGCCTTGGCAACAAAAGTGAGACTCCATCTCAAAAAAAAAAAAAAAAATGAGGCCGAGGCCCAGGTTTTTAGTTGAGTGGTTAGTGGTAATAGGTTTAGGGGAAGGTGATGAGTTCAGTTTCTAACATCTTATGTCTGAGGCACCTGTGATTCAAACAAGAGAGGGGTCAAGTGGGTTATTAGATATATGAATCTAAACCTCAACAGAAGAAAGATCTAATCTGGAGATTTAGATGGGAATAAATAAAACAGCTTGAGGTAAGACATGTAGAAGAAAGCCCATACAAAGCCACTTTAATACTTAATAGTAAGAGAGTATAATGGGCCGGAGAGTATGGAAAAGCATGAAAGAAAGGTATCACAGAAGCCAAGGGATTAACTTCTCAAAAAAGTAGGAAATATCAACTATGCAAAATGATGCAGAGAAAACAAGCATGATGAGAACTAAAACCTGAAAGAATGGAAGTTATTAGCATTCAGGGAGCAGTGGAAACAGAGCAGGTTAAAGAGTGAATGCAAAGAGAGGGCTGGAGAAAGACACTTGGTTTTTGTTTTTATTTTAGAAGACAGGGTTTCACTGTTGCCCAGGCTGGAGTGCAGTGGTGCGATCATAGCTCACTGCAGCCTCAAACTACTGGGCTCAAGTGATCCTCCCACCTCAGCCTGCCAAGTAGCTGGGACTACAGACTAAGTTAATTTTTTTTTTTTTTTAAACAGGGTCTTGCTTTGTTACCCAAGCTGGTCTCAAACTCCTGGGCTCAAACAATCCTCCTGCCTCAGCCTCCCAAGTAACTGGGATTACAGACTTGAGCCACTGCAGCTGACAATAGCGTAATAAAACTAGTTAAACCATAAAGGAAAGATAGGTCAGTTACTAGATAGGTATACGAGGTCGAAAGTGTTTTCAAGTATGAGAGAGATCTGAAATGTTTCAATTCTGAAAGCACAAATTCAGTAAGGAGAAGTATAAAGGTATCAGGAGCATAAGGTTTCTGAAAAGGCAGTAGAGGATGTGAGCCAGAGTTAGGACTTTAGGAAGAAGAACACCTCTCTTCCATTATAAAAAGGAAGTAGAATAAAGTGAGCAAGGATGCCAGCAGGTTTGGAGATGCAGTGGTAAGAAATTATAGGTTTTACATGATGAAGTCTATTTTCTCTATGAAACAAAAGACAAGAAAGAATCAGATTTCAAAACGGGAGAAAACATTTAAAATAGTTTGTAGTAAGTGGAAGAATAAACTGGCGAGGTTATATAGTGCGACTGCCTAACTATATTGAGGGCCCACTTTTTAAATCACCATTTTAATTGACACCCATGAGGTGAGCATGGTGGGAGGCGCTTGGGAGGGGAATGTCTGTAGCCCCAGCTACTAAGGAGGCTGAGATGGGATGATGTCTTGACCCCAGAATTACGAGGCCAGCCTGGGGAACACAGGAGACCTCATCCTTAATAAAAATTAAAAATAAAATGGCACCCATTTACTCTTTCCTCTACATTGCCTTATAAAATAAGCATCTGTTGCTACAACTCTTAATTTGCTATTTTTTGACGTAATAGGAAGCACCTTTTTCTATATGATGTAATAACACGTTTCCGATTAAGTGGAGGGCATTCCCATGGGTTCTGAAAAAGTGCCACCCTTGCCTTTCCATAAAAGGAAAAATAAAATGTACCAAATACAATTTTGTCAAAGAATTGTAGAAATTATTAACAGAAATTAATTATAAAGCATTCAGGAAATGAGTGAATTAAAGGTAAATTGAAGTTTTTCAAAAATATGTTTTTGCTGGTAGAGCATGGTGGCTCACACCTATAATCCCAACACTTTGGAAGGCCAAGGCAGGATGATTGCTTGAGTCCAGGAGTTTGAGACAAGCCTGGACAACATGGCGAAATCCCGTCCCTACAAAAATTACAAATAATTAGCTGGGTGTGGTCCCTCATTAACAGATTTTCTTCATAAACACTGGTTCACTACCAGCTGTTTTTGAGAAAGTTTTATTTGGGGCCAGGTATGGTGGCTCACACCTGTAATCCCAGTACTTTGGGAGGCCAAGGCAGGCGGATCACCTGAGGTCGGGAGTTCGAGACCAGCCTGACCAACATGGAGAAACCCCATCTCTACTAAAAATACAAAAAATTAGCTGGGCGTGGTGGCACATGCCTGTAATCCCAGCTACTCAGGGGGCTGAGGCAGAATTGCTTGAAACTAGTGCCACTGCACTCAGCCTGGGCAACAAGAGCGAAATGCCATCTCAAAAAAAGAAAGAAAGAAAGTTTTATTTTGTAAATAGCGAATATTAGCAGATCCAAAGTTAAAAGTACTTACTTGGGTTGACACACAGTAGTCAAATTTCAAGTGTCCAATCTAAGGGATGGATGTTTACTGTTAAAATGATCAAGTCAACCATTTCCTTTAAAAACAAAATCCAATAATTGCTATTTTCCTGCTGTCTTATTTCTCAATTATACCCGTTTTAAAAATCCCTTATTAATAACATGATGTCTTATTAAATATTAAGATCTACAAAGTTTGTAGTTCTGGGGTTTGACTATGATTTCTTCTATAATCAAACCATAATTTCAATAAATATTACAATCAACAAAAGATGATATTAGGAAAAATAATCTCCCAATCAAAACTTTTTAAATGCTTCAAAATAAGCATTATATCATTTTTACCTTACTTTTCATGCCAAGGCTATTTTCATGGATTTTACAGATTCATATCTACATAATCTCCTAGTTTAATTCTTAGCACATAATTTCACTGAATATAAATACGGTTAGTGTAAATGGCCACA